GACAGAGTCTATGCGATTTGCCAGTGGACCACCTTATGATACACATAGGCCAGGGCATGCCACCACGGATATTGCCTTGGAGGAAATTACACGATTTATTAGGAGGACTTCAGGGGAAGAAGTATATGCGTGGTGTTGAAGCCTTGGCACGAACTTTGATCGGGAGATCATCTGAAAAATCTTAAGACTCACTGGTCGCTGCTCTCAAGTCTGAGCTTCATTCGCCACTGGGATATGTCGCGATCCAAGCTCACAGAGACCATTTCGAACCATTTCAGTTTACTATTGCCTATCTTTCCCTCTCCTCTGCAGTCCCGCGGCTTGAGCAGCGTTCATCGCATAATGTTTTCCACCACAAGCGCGCCAAGTTGGCGGTCTCGTTTCGGAACTTGGGCATTTGGATTTTCGACCGCTTTTCAGGATGGTTTCCGCGCGAATTGGTGAGCATCGCGTGCTAATGAGCATTCATTGAATGACTTTGACCTGACTTTGATAGTGAAATATCACCAGATGGACATGTACAGTTGTTAAACATGATAAAGATGTTTGCTTGAGAACCGCTAATCGTTAGATATCCCTCTATCGATGCTACATTATAGTGTAATAGAGGCTTTCTACTGCAGTAATGTAGCCTAAACCACTCTGCAGCTGTCGACAGCTAGAGGTGCACCTCAGAACGTTAACTTTCAACTAACAAATACAAGGACTAGATAGACTGCAAGCACAACACGAATATTTATCCATCGTGTTCGTCGCGCGTATACGCGCAGTCCCTCATATCGCTTAGAGGATCTCGTAAGCAGTCTATTCTATTTTAGGCATTTCCGGTGGCCGATAATGTGGCCGACGGCGCATACATGCATACAGATGATGGAACAAGACGTGCTCTGCATTCAACGACCACGGGAATGGAGCTCGCCGTCAATATTCAAGTACAATACCGGCCAAAGAAACGGAAATTCAGTGATGTCGTCGACGGTAACAATGCCAAGGCTATGCCATCACAGGTTCACTTCCGACCATCACGACGTCGGCGACACCCTCCTACACGTTCTCGCTGTCGTTGACCGACCTTCTCCACGACATTCTGACATTCGCTGGGCGACTTAGAACCAAGATCAGCTCCAGCTATGACCCAATACGAGCCCCGACATCGCCACACCTTTGAGGAACCGTGGAGTACCCCCAATCTCTCCGTAAACAACCACCCATATCCTCCACCGACGGGCAATTATGGGCCTCCGTCGACCGTTACGCTAGCTCCCGGGGGTCTGGGCAGGCGCGATCTCAGTCGCACGCCAAGTCCAACGCCGAGCGAGGCGAAAGAGCTCAAAACTGGCGCATTTGACTGGGAGACACTCGGAAAGTGGCGATTCTGGATACGCAAGGAATGGATATGTACGTGTCCGTAGTCGTGCTGGACAATTTGCTAACCCTCAACAGGGTACTATGTTGCACTGGTTATTATTTGCACTCTCACCGCCCTCATGACACTGTATCACAAGCAGATTGTGGAATGGTTGACGCCCGTGACGCGGTGGATGCACGAGTAGGTGATTTCCCGCAGACTAGTGCGTTAAGCTAATTAGTTGACAGCCTTTCATATGGTTGGATAATCCCGATAGGCGTGCTCTTCGTCATTTCCTTCCCACCGCTCTTTGGCCACGAAATTGTCGCTGTTCTATGCGGTGTCGTCTGGGGCTTATGGATAGGATTCGGGATTGTCGCTGCAGGAACTTTTATCGGGGAAGTGGGCAACTTTTACGCCTTCAAATACTGTTGCCGCGCTCGAGGAGAAAAGATGGAGCGCACCAAAATCCCCTATGCATGTTTGGCTAAAGTTGTCCGCGACGGAGGTTTCAAGATTGCCCTCATAGCCCGTCTCAGTGCTATTCCTGGACATTTCACAACCGCCGTCTTCTCCACGTGCGGTATGGGCATTATCGTCTTTTCTATCGCTGCCATTCTTTCCCTCCCGAAACAGTTCATAACTGTCTACCTCGGCGTTATTCTAGAACAATCCGCGTCTGGGACGACTGATACCAAGTCCCGCATCATCTCAGATGTGGTCCTCGCCGTCACATTCCTCATTACTATCGCCGCTATGTGGTACATTTACCGACAAATGAACAAGGTCAAGCCACAGGTAATCTATGAACGCCGCAAGGCGAGACAGGCGAAACTGGCCAACGCCTACTCTCCAGGACCTTCTACGTCCGAGGTCAACATCCCCTTAACGTCACCCCGACCGCAGTATCCATTTACATCCCAAATCGGGTCGACGATTGTGTATGCGCCATCCCCCAGCAACAGCGATGTCTACGAATACAAGCCAAGTAATAATTATGGTTATCAAAAGCGGGAGGAGTCTGATGACACGTCGTCGTCGGGTCATTCAGATTCATCAGTGGCCCACCCACGTACAGATGAGGTTGCGTGGGATAGAGGGCGATACACTCGAACACCGCCTGGCATCGGCGTCTCATACCCGCGCGCGCAGTACCCCGATTCACAATTACAACATCGACAGTCGCCTACCCGAGGCAATTCGAACACCCACTATCCCGAATCACCCTCACAGTTGCCTTACACTCATTCACCTTCACACTTGCCTTACACTCATTCACCTATGACAGAGAGTGCGTACACGTCTTCTACGCCTCGAACGGCCACCTTTGCTGGCACGCAGCCCCAATCACCACGTCAATCGCCTGCGGCGGCTTACTCAGAGCCTGCATACACGTCGGCTACGCCGAGGATGGCTACGTTTGCCGGCAGGGCGCCGCTCCCGAATCCATACGCGCCAGAAGAGGAACCGCTTACCCCACGAGCACGCCATGAAGCGGAACTGTCGTATAATACACATAAGTCGACGGGGAGTGAGTCGGATGGTGAGATCCGGAGGACGTATTCGCCACCGCCGCCGAGTTACGCGACACATGCAAGATGAGGAGAAGAGGTTTTTATTTTTTCAGTGTATTTAATTTTGACTCGTACCAGAATCATTCTTTTGGACCTTTTGATATGATTCATGAATGTGGTATCTTACGCTCGCTCGATTTTCAGAGTTCTTCATTGTGTTTGCATAGTATACCAAGCTGTACAGTGTAATTCTATGTATTCGGTATCAGCATATTCGTATCGCTGACGCTGCAACGATACACGAGCTCAGCTGGGGGAAAAGCGTGACTTGGGCATTCCAGAACTCGTGAGTTATTGAAATGGCCAAGTTACACAAATCCCGGTAGTGCTGACGGTTGAGAACGCGCAGAAGCCATTGACTTCCAAGTGACTTATTACTAAGTCATGCATTCAGAACTAGTCCTCACTGGGTAAAGACCCATACTGATCCTATTATACTGTAACTACATCCAAGTCGTGTCGTATCGTTCATGATATTGAATCAACCGAAAGCGTTGATTGGAAGATCGAATCGGAAACAGAAAGGAGTTACTAGAGCTGGATCAGAAGAAGACGACGCGACGTGATAATAGCAAGTGGCGGATTTAGGGGTCAAAAAGTCCCACGGTACCATTTTAGGCTATTTTCGAAGAGAGAGACTTTTGATCGAGGGGCCCTTGCTTTGTCTTCCACATTCGACACAAGTACCCTCGGATCTCGCTTCCTCATTGCAATTGCGCCTAGACATGACTCTTCTAGGGAACAAAGAAAGAGGTTAGTCGAACAATAGGTGTCCGCAGGGAACGCGCTCAGTGTGTTGCCTTTTTTATCCATGATAATGTCGAACAATGGGAAATGGCAGGGGTGATTTCAACTCCGATGGGTGGTCCACTATTTAAGCAATGTGGACTGCGTGTACATCGTAGAAGTTACGCTCACCTCCGAACTCCCCAGTGCAAGTGAATCTTATCTGTGCTTTCTCCCATCCGCTCCAGTATTCGTTCATCCATCGCATACGCGATGTACTTCAACGTAGTGGATCCAGATGACGCGACCATTGTTGCGCCAACCACAGCCTCGGTGAGCGCATCTGCTCGCTACCTGCGTCTTCTACTAAAGATGCCCGCAGGTAACTTCAGTAGCAAACGATGTTGCTTTCCTGGACGCTGAATGCGTCATGGAGCTACGCGCCTATATCTCTGAAGGCAAGAACCGTATCCAGTCGGTAGGCTCCCAATACCAAACCCGCCTCACGTGTAGCTCATCGTGATCGTTTGCACAGAACAAACCCATCATATCTCCCACGCTGACTCCTCCTCAAACCCCCATCACCTCGCACCCGCCTACGCTCGCTCGGGCGCGTCGTCCTCTCCTCTCGCCCGTGCCGGATAATGAGACATCCACTGTCAATCCGCGCCGCGCGTATCGTACACCTATGGAGACCCGACGCCGCCTCGGCTGGATCGTCGATGATCCACAACCCAAAAGGCGCTTCAAGTTGACGCCGATGAACAGGGCATCTGTTCGGACTGTCATGTCCTCCTCCTCCTCATCTCCCGAGGATCTAGGCGACATGCTCGCCATGTTGTCTATCCTCATGCTCATCAACTTCTGCGGACCGTGCTGCTTCGTCTACGCCGGCCTTCGCGTCGTTTTCATCGCGATTTCCCGTCGATCGGCGGTGTGATTTCGTCGTTTCTCTCTCAACTTTGGATTTCCACTAACAAATCTCTCTTCTTTCCTTGTTTTGCTTTCGCTGTCGCATTGCTTTCACATTCCTTATTTTTCCTGTTTACATTTGATGATTTGTCTTCGCACCACGCTCATTCGTACCGTCCGTTTTCTTTTTGGTTCCTCGCATTATATTTCTTGCTCTCGCTTTCGTCCCCGCTTTGAATCCTGCTGTTCTACATACCAAAATGTTGTAGTCTCCTACGTTGTACATCAGTGTACCTCGAATACTACTACGAGAAATGAAAATTCCCTTGTAACACTAATGTGTTGTCTTGGCCTTGCTTGAAACTTGAAAATGGACATTCATTTGTTGAGGAGTATTTGATGAGACCGTAACCTGAAAGCCAGATGCCACGATTGAGCATGGCCTTATGGTCTAGTCGCATGATTCCTCGTTTGGGTTGGACAATCGAGGAGGTCCTGGGTTCAATTCCCAGTGAGGCCCTTTTTTGCACCGCCACACTTCGAAGTGAATAACTTAGGGTGGCGCAGTATTATAAACCACCGGCCTGGTCCGGGGGGTGTTAGTAACGGACCACTCAAACTCGCGACCAAGCAGACAACGGGCAGCCTGCTATGTTTCTAGTTGGCATTCCGAGCTTTACTATGTTCAGTTCACATAACTTCATTTCCTACTAGCGTCGGCGCGCGAACAATCCCATCCGAGATCTACGATGGAGCGTCAGCCTGATGCTCTATATATCCTTCTTCGACGTCCTGGACGAGACTGGGCTCTATCCATGCTAGCGCGCTCACAACCTTGCCCATGTACTTGGATTTCCCAACGATGTCCTGTACGCCATTTTGTCCACGACGGCGTCAGAACTGTCCAGTCTGCGCAGATATCTGTCGTATAGCGTGGCTTGGCTGGGAATGACAGTAAAGTTCATCGTGCAGGTGACGAGGGAAAGAAGATGTGACGCCACGAGTCGTTCTGAGCAGGGATTATATTTCGGGTCAACCACAGATAAGTATATATGAATATGGGAGAATGTAGTAGTTCACAATCTAAACGATGGCGAAAAAATTTATGGATAGTAGTGAAGTAACATTGGACAGTTGTGAGAAGTGTAATTGTCAGAACCGCCCAAAATAATACAGAGAAATGATATCGCCAATTCTCGACCTCAAACCTTTTCCACGGACGAATTACAAGGCTCGGTGCGCTTACCGTGCTCGGACGCCTCAACTTCACGCTGCACATCTCCATCTTCTCCTTGCTCGCCTTCGGCAACCTGAGGCTCCGAGTCTCGAGCCTGCTCCCAGCCAATGTTCGTAAGAGTGCGTCCCGTACTGTTACTTTGGTTGGGAGTACTGGCAAAGCGCAAAGACTCCGCGAGAGAGCGCATCGGACTTCGCAAGTGGGGAAGGGAAGAACGCGTCCAGGAATCGTCTGGACGCGAGTGTCCGGCCATGACGCGGGCGATGATGAGGGTCGGCGCAATACCCTAGAAGAACAAGTCAGAATGATCAATGGTTACATGAATAACTTACTGTGATGCTGTATGATATATTAATAAGGTAGGAGGTGGCGCTCATGACTGTCTGATTTGTGTAGAACTCGGATGCATAGCAACCAAGAAGGACGATATAGACGATTGCATACATGACAGCGGATTCAAAAACAATCTCGATGATACCCCGATACGTCTTCAGGCTTGCGCCTAGGTTGCTAATCCGCACAACGCGAAATATGATGAGAAAAGTACACAGGCTATTCGTTAGCACGGTCATGGAGTAATAGACCAGGGACCAATTAACCTGGGCATCGGGGAGGCCAGGACTCGCATACATGAACACCATGATGAAGCAGACGCTTGCTATCCAAAAAGGTGTCAAAGGGGAAAACCTTGTAAGAATATGGACTCACTTGTCTCAGTGATGACGCAAAGACTGGGACAGCAATGACTGCCAGATTCCCACCGTACAACACCCAGCAGCGCCAAATCTAGTCAGGGAGGTCAGCAATCGAAAAGCAATCGGAGTTCTAAATGCACACACCAATATCAAGTCCGCCACAATGGTATTGAGAGCTCCAAGAGAGCTCGAAAAATACTGATTGTGAGGCCCTCCGATAAATCGGTATGGAGGTAACCGTTGTATTCATCCTACAGTGATCTTCCATGGACAATCAATATGTTATCGGCATATTTCCATTCCAAGCCCATCATAATGGTGTTGGCAGACCACAAGAAGGCGACAATGCCCGCCAAGGTGATTCGCTTCTGAATGGGCTGAGTGCTCTGAGCTATCAAAGACGTCAATCTGAGAAAGAGAAACGAGTATAAGAGCCTCACCTATGTAATGTAAGGCAATGAAGAAGATGCAGGTGTAAATCCCGTGACAAAAGACAAGGAGAATTGTACGATGTAAGGTCAACGAGGTCAAGGCCTGGACATCAGCTGCGGTGAGCCCATAGTCCTCAAATGTTGAAGACATGATGATTCGTGGCAAAAGCTACGCACACATCTGTCTCTTTATGTACATAGGCGATAGGGCAGTGTGGATGATAGATCGTTGATTTGTTCAAAGCGCCTTACCTTGTTCATCGTACTTATCATTGCTCCATTAGAGCGTATTTGCAGCCGGCTTCTGTCTTCGTCTCAACTCAACACATTCGTGACGTCTTCGCAGTGCTTCGAAGAAGAAGGAGGAGGAGGTGGATGGATAAACCCACGTCTTGTGGATAAGATGCGAGGCTTTCGGACCATGTGTGTGCCCATCTCACACGCGCCAGGTGTCTCAGTCGGAGTCGGAATCGCCAGGAGCAAATACGCTCTATCGATAAGCACCTAGACCAACGCCGGCGAGCCCGATCTCTCCGTCAACTCCTCGCGCCGCTGAAACGAGATGAACTCGAGATGTATCATCGACCTAGACAAAGTTCGCCAAGTCCTAAATCAGACCAAATCGTTGGAACATCAGTGCAATTGTTGATGGTCTACTTGAACTTCCACAATGGACAAAGGAGATGCGAACAGTGATTTCGATTGAGCGAGTTTCCAGGCGAGACCGTACGTGCCCAGTGCCCACCACCTACCGGGAGACTTGCCGCGGTAGCTCATTAGAACGCCTAATGAACAACTCAGCAAACAGGTAAAGAGACAAAAGGAATACCGTACAAGCCTTATCCTTCTCCTCGGCCCAACCAGCGTGATGACACCGGCACCCTGTTTGTCCATCTTTCCCTCAGCCGAACAGCCATTCAAGGTAGTCTTGCTGAACCTCGGCGCGACATAGGTTGATGGAGACCGCGTCGCAAATTCCAGAGGGTGGCTCGGCGCTGCTGTACATGAGCCCGACATTATTCACAGGCGATTCGAGGCGTCTTCTACTGCGTCTTGACGTCGACTTGGACAGAATAAAAGTCGAGGCCGTCGCTAGCGAACTTCTCTGCCAGCTTCACCAGCAGACCGACAAATAAACGAGAGATATCTAAGATCACCTCCCAATGATGTCTCTAGGGATGACAAAACGACGCCAATCTGTCGCACGACGGCGGCATGCTCCTGCTTTTCGTGGACGACATAATGTCTTGCGCATGCTCGTTCTCCCAGCCCCGCCAGTACCACCTCGCACAGGCGCTACTCCCTCTTCACGAATCGATTCCTGAGACAAGCGAGGTGGGCCTGGTTTCTGCTTGAACAGAGACCACATGCAAATCATGATGGCGTGCGAGGACGGACAAGAAGAGCGGCTCAGGCAAGTGAGGCACACATGGTAGAGGAGAGGCTCTCCATTCGGGTTGAATAGACAGGATCACTTCAAGACTGGAGCCTGAGGAGGTCCTTTCCGCGTTGTTCGCCCAGGGGGTGAGGGCTTGCGCCTAATACAATTCCGAACGAGCGTTCCGGGACGGGGATGTAATACATCATTCCGTGCACCTACACAGTCGAACTTGGGTCAACGATACTCAGGATAAAGATTAGACGATGGACGTACCTTCGCTGATCTGGATCCCTCATCCTTGCCTCATCCAAAGGGTAGAACTGAGCGCGAGACGTGACAATTCCCTGCTTTGCGCGCACGTCCTGGTTGACTCTAATTAGCGATATCGATGTTTGACCGCGATGTCAGTCTTGTTGCCAGAGGCCGGCGCGTCGGCTTCACGCACACCTCTGTCTCTCTCGAGCTCGGCGCATCTTCCAGATTCATCAATATCGCCTCATTGTGCGTTGTCGCCATTAAGCCTAAGTCCGGCACGTAGAGACGAGGGTGCTAGGGTGCTAGAGATTCAATGCCGAAGGCCGACCGACGACCTGGTTCGAAGTGCAGATCTTGAGCTACTAAGAGACTTCTGTAAGTTTTGAATGTAAACGCTATCAACGGGAATAACGATGAAGAACGTACCTTTCCGGCGTCGGCTTCGTCGCCGAGCAGTAAGAATACCATTTCGCTCTGGCCTGAGCCGAGGAAGATCAAGGGGCGGAAGTGTTTCGTTGAAGGATGGACGCGCTGTTGACCCCCGAGCGTGTCGTCGAACGCGGACAAGAAAGCTAGACATCACACAGCAAGTCCACCTTGCCCACGCTCGCCATATGGTATTTGAGGATCTCTACAGCGGCGACTATCCGATTCAGCTCGCCATACGGGACGGTTCTGTACAAAATGAGTCGGCACACAAAGGTTTCTCGGATGCGAAAGACGTACCCTTTCTATCCAAGCGTCCTACTTGGCGACGGACTCGATTCATGCTGCAGTTGTCAGGCTACTTGGCAACATCGACGTTACACACGCTTTGGCGCAGTCGTTTTCTGAGAACGGCCTTACATGATATATGCGAGGAAGCATGATGCAAATCATCTGCCTGTTGTGAATGGAAAGACAGCCCTTGTCGAGTAAGACATTATCGCAGAGTCGGTTGAGTCCATCTAGAGAAGGCGGTGAAAGGCGTGTGGACCAGCCCAGCTAATGGACAAGTGAGAAAGAGCAACGTTTCACCCGACTATATCACATCAGTCGGCCCATGGAAGGAAACGAAGAGCTTTCATTGCAGACAATGTAAAACAGCCACGGGGAGAGTGTATGTCCAGTCTGGTACAGACTAAGGGCCACAGATTATCTGATGAGTAAATCAGCAAATATATCCTCAGATGACAGGATAGTAACATACCAGCCTTCTCCTCCTCCAGCCTCCTCCCGTCATGATCAGACTAAATCCCAATGAAATCCGTTGTTGCGAAAATTGGCGCCCTGCCATTGGCATTGGTCTGGAGCTCCTTTTCTTCTGCGAGAGGGTTGTCGGCTCCAACGCTGCGCCCGGCAAGGTCAAAACAGTGGTCGCTTTCGCGGAGAAGAACGAACGGCATCAAGGCGAAGAAATGCAGAACATACAATTTATCATCCCTGGAGTCAAGGAGCGCAGTGTCAGGCGAGGTAAATACCCCCGCCGCCGCCGTCCTCGCTATTCCTGGCGTGGACCTGGTCGATTCGGGACCTGCGATT